CTGCGTCTTTGGATGAACTACGTCAACGGATTAATTAATTAACAGAGTGCCGTCAAATAACTCCTGCGATGTTCCGTAATGTGAGGAAGGAATTTGAATCCAGGCTTTATTATTGTTTGCAAGAGAACGGGGGACATTTTGAACATTTGACCTAAAAATATTATTATTTTTTATTTTCAATTGTAATTGATAAATAAATTTGTATACCTATTCGATTAAATTTAGTAAAAACCAATTTCCAAACAATAAATATTGTTTTTTTTTCTTGAGAACAGCTGTATTGCAAATTAATGATCACCGTCTTGACAGTCGAAGAGGTCGGATGCGTCAAGATCCCTCCTAAGTGGCGTATACGATACAAACGTAAAGTACCAAAAAACGAAACAAAGTATCCGGAAATATCGGTAATCGTTAATAAATAATAAATAAATACATAAATAAACAAACAAGTGCAAGAAGTGCGAAAATTGTGAGATAACGCCGTAAAAGTGTGCAAGTGAATAAGTACCTAATTGAGGCTAGGCAGCAACGATAAGTCAACCGGCGCACCTGGATCGGAGCGTTCCAAAAATATCCTTTTTCTATGCAAAAACCTGCAGGAGAAGGCCACCCCGCGAAAGACAAAGCATCAGGTTTATAGCCTAATAATCAAGCTAAGTAATTCTTCTAATTGCATGTCTTACCGTATAATCGTTAAATGTTTATATAAGCATTTCACAATGTTGCAAAAAAATCTAAGAATTCTATTCGTCTTAAAAATTAAATTTTAAAAAATAATAAGAACATTTCCGTAACTGTTAAATAAACAACCTAATTTTCTCATAGTAGACAAACGTAAACAACCAGCGTAAAAGGCGTAAGTAAATAAACCAATTCAAGCAAGAAGACAAAAATTTATCATAAATAAATTTAGGGTCACACCCATAAATCAAAGCCAAACTAATACACAGAACTCAAGAGCCAAGCAGGCCATAAGGCCGCATTCCACTATATACACTACAGGGCCGGCTCTATTTTGAAGATTCAGTTCGAAGCAATATTGCGTTTGTGACGTATATTGATGTGCTCCGATTTATATGCTAAAATAAGCGTGTTTATAGTGGGATGAAATACAAACTTCTTGTGGATAACTTTTCTTAAGTGTAGTAACGATGAGTTTGACTGTTTTGTTTGTGTTTTTGACTAATGGTGATAGTGAAATTAATTTAAGTTATTACTAATTTATTATCCCATAAACAATTATTAACCAAACAAAAAGTCGATGCATCAAAAAAAAGAACAGAGAGGAAAAAACTACTTATAAAAACTGTTTAAATTATTTAAAAAAAAAGGTTTAAATTATTTGCCCCAGGTTGGGATTGAACCGGGGTCGCCGCGGCGGTTCGGAGCCTGATCGGTTCCCTAACTGATTGTGCTACAATCGCTATATCCGTAAAATGGCTTCTACTGATGAAAGTATTAAAACTTGTAAAAGATGTTCTAAAGCACCTAAAGTATTTGTAAAATGCATTAAGTGTGAAGCAATTTTTCACCCCAGTTGTGCTGAATCTAAAAAGGTTAAAGTTATTAATGAAAAGGAGATTCTATGTTGTGTAAACACTGAAGAAAATTCTTCTCAAGTAAATCCTACAATTATGCCAATGGCAACCGAAGATCCTTTACAGATTGAAATTTACTATCTAAAGGAAATTATTAAACAAAAAGATCTACTAATTGACAGTCAAAAAATAACCATAAATTCTTTAATGGATCAAATAAAGATTATAAACAGCAATAACAAAAATAATAAGGCTAATGAAAATCAAAAGTCTTCTATAAAAACAAAAATAAATAAAGAACAAAATACAGTTGAAAACAAAAGTTCCAACACTTTAAATAATAAAAATATTGCTCCATCGTTGCCAAAAAATGTAGTTACAGCGCAAGATGTCTCTCCAGCGATAATGGAGGCTGCAACGAAGAATTTGTGCGATAAATATATTAATATTGTAAAAACCCCTGATACAAAAGAAAGTTACAATGAAGTTGTCAAGAAACATAAGAAAAAAACACCCATAGTTGTGGGAAACTCAACCAATCCTGGTTGCGCGTTGAAGGTTGTCCCTAGAAAATCCTTTGTCTATGTTTCACGGTTGGATCCAAAAACTAAGTGTGATGATTTAGTCAATTTTTTGAAGGACCAATTTCCAGAAGTTTTATGTGATGTAGTCCAGTCAAAGTTTCCGGATAAATACTCGTCATTCAAATTGACAGTAGATATCAATAACTTTGAAAAAATAATGAAGCCTGAGCTTTGGCCTCAGGGAACGTACTTGGGAAGGTTTTTTCACCCCAGAGTAAAGACCAAACCAACGCCATGAAATCTTTTTCAAAAAAACATATAAACATATACTATCAGAATGTTCGTGGTCTTAGAACCAAACTTACAGAACTACAAAACAATGTTTTAACATCAGAATTTGACATAATTTGTCTAACAGAAACATGGTTAAAAGAAGAGATTTCTACTGCTGAACTAAACCTTACATCTTATAATGTGTATAGAGCTGATAGAAATTCTTCTACTAGTAAATTTGAGCGTGGGGGTGGTGTTCTTATTGCCGTCCATAAATCATACGTGTCAAGTATTGTTCATATTGATGAAAGTAACGTTGAACAAGTGTTCGTATTTGTCAAAATACCATCTAAAAAATTTTTAATTGGTGTTGTTTATCTTCCCCCCAACTCTACTGTCGATGTATATAACTCCCACTGTGCTAGTGTTGAATCATTGATGGACAACCTGGATGATGATGTAACATCTTTATTCTATGGCGACTACAATCTACCCGACACGCAGTGGCTCAATGACGAACATGGTGTACGTGCATCTGGTCAAATAAGTGAAAAGTGTCGTATAGTCTCCGACTGCTTCGCGCTTTGTAATCTGTATCAAATCAATGTTGTGAAAAATGTTTATAATAATATGCTTGATCTTGTTTTTTGTAATGATTTAAGTGTTATTACGGAAATGGCTAATGATAATTTGTTACCATGTGATAAATATCATCCGGCTATCTGTTTGAGAATATGTTTGTCTAACTCCAATAATGAAATAGAAACTGAATATTTTTACTCTGATTTTAAAAATGCAAATTTGTCTAGTCTTAATGAACATTTAAATATTGTTAATTGGAATGTTGTTTTTGCTAGTAATGATGTAAATATTTGTTTGAATTCCTTTTACGAAATTTTAAATTACATGTTTTCATTATATGTCCCTAGGAAGAAGGTAGTAAAGCATACATTTCCTCTTTGGTTTTCAAATGAGCTAAAACATCTTATTTTCCAAAAAAAAATTGCTCATAAAGAGTTTAAGCGGTCCTCTAGTGATTTTAATTATAATAAATTTAGTGTTCTGAGAAATCAGTGTAAAATCTTGACCGCCGAGTGCTATAGATATTATATAGATTCCTTGGAAAGAAACATCAATTGCAACCCTCAATATTTTTGGAAGTATGTGAATACTAAAAAAAAGAATAACCTCATGCCAAATAAAATGTCTTATAATAATGTTACATCTGATAATACTTTTGAAATTTCAAATTTATTTGCCGATTTTTTTAGCTCTGTTTACGTAAAAAATTGTGATATTAAAGTACCTGATTATAATTATGCTAGTAATTTACATTTAAATAACTGTAGTATTCGTGAACGTGATGTATTCGATGAATTGTCTAAATTAAATATTTCTAAGGGTGCTGGTGCTGGTCCTGATGGTGTCCCTTCTTTAATTCTTAAAGAATGTAGGTTTTCCTTGGTTAAACCCCTAACTGAGCTGTTTAATATGTCTCTAAATAATTGTGAGTTTCCGGCCGTTTGGAAGGAAAGCTTTATTATACCTCTTCATAAAAATGGTGACAAAACTAATATTAAAAATTATAGACCAATTTCAAAAATTTCCCAGATCCCTAAGATATTGGAAAAAATTGTTAATAATAAAATAACGCCTTTGTTTAGAGATGTCCTAATCAAAGAACAGCACGGTTTTTGTAGGGGTAAATCTACGGCAAGTAATTTAATTCTTTTTGAACAAGACCTGTTGAATGCTTTGGAAAATCAAAGTCAAGTAGATGCTATCTACACTGACTTTTCCAAAGCATTCGACATAGTTAATCATAGTATTCTACTTAATAAATTAAAAGCCTTGGGAATAACTGGGAAATTATTGCATTGGCTAAAAAGCTATTTGAGTCATAGGACACAGATAGTACTTATTAACAACCATTTTAGAAGCAAAACAATTAGTGTTACGTCTGGTGTTCCTCAAGGTGGTCATCTCTCTCCACTTTTGTTTAATTGTTTCATAAATGATATTGGTGATAACATAAAATTTTGTAAATATTTACTTTTTGCCGATGACTTAAAGCTTTACAAAGTTATTAAAGATATTGAAGACTGCTGTGACATCCAGGAAGACCTGAATCAAATACAAATATGGTGTGATAGAAACTTGATATAATCGTATTGGTATTGATGGTAATATTGTTGGTATTAATGTTGATGTTGATATTGGCATTATAGATATTGATATTAGTATTAATATTGATTGATTACCCAAATAGCACACGACCTCCCAAGGACATCCTGATTGGGTCTGTCCGGGCCAGTTTAGGATATCCCATTTCTGACGTACCTTGGACGTCCATGGGACGTCCTGAAATTAAATTGGGTATAGTATATTGGGTATCCCATTTCTGACGTACCTTGGACGTCCATAGGACGTCATAGAATTAAAATGGAAAATGTATACCATATATATATATATATATATATATATATTGGATATCTTCATGCCGTCTTTCCAAAAGGCAAAGATATAAATAAATGAAAACGGTATGAACACTAATATAGCAATAAAATAAATAAAGAATATACAAGGTTGGTAGCCGGAGTAAGCAAAAAACTAACATACCCACCCCCATTCACGAATACCAATTCATTCATTCCATACTTCCAAGATGGTTGACGGTGATGATGAGTCGTCCGATCATACTGGAGAAAGTGGCAAAAGTGCAATGTTTAAGTGCTGTAAAACCAGAGAGTGTCGTACCGCAGTATGTGTAAACTGTGGGGCTGCCGTGCATTCGGGTTGTTTAAGTCGTACAAAGTGTGTCATAATTGATTCTACCAGAATTATATGTTGTGGTGAAGAACGAACCTCAAAATCTCCAACTAGTGCAAATGCAAAGAAATTCAAATTCAGTCTCGAACAAGTGAATTTAACCAGCCTAAGAAGGGAAAATGAGCTTCTAAAGACCCTCTTTCAGCAAAGTGAGGAAAAAAATGCAATTCTGAAGGAAAATAATCAATTATTAAAAGAAAAAATCGAAATATTACAATCTCAACTAAACGCAACCTCAGCAGCATCTACCGCACAATCGCTACCCAAGAATTACAAAGCAGCTATTGAAAAAGGAAAGACAGGGCTCCCCCTCATAAAAATACCAAGTACTGCTACTACCCAACAGATAGCAGCACCATTAAACATACAAAAGCAACCAACCAAAGTTCAACAACAACAAAATGGAGTAAATGAAAACAATCTAAATGAATATCAAAACAAACAGCAGCAAATCATGAACAGCGTCCTAAACCTTGTCGAAAATGATGGTTTTCAATATCAAAAACGCAAACAAAGGAAAATCATACACATTGGTGATGCCGAAGTGAACGATTCCTCATTTACAGGAGCTCCAAAAAAGGTATGGATCCTTTTAACTAGAGTATCCCCAGAGACTACTGTAAATACTGTTGAAACCTTTTTAAAAAGTAAACCCAACATGTGCAATAGAACTTTTGATGTTGTAGAGCTGCCTTATGAGAGAAACACGAAATGTTTTCGAATTGGTGCAGACTATGCACTAAAAGACAAGCTGTATGACAAGGATTTCTGGCCGAGAAACGTCAGATACGCCAGATATTACTGGAAAAAAACGAGGATAAAGTAAATAATGAAAACCAAGGACAAACAATAAATTTTCACCAACAACAACTACAAAACCCAAAAACATAAACAAACCTGCTGTAAACACTGAAAACCATCAACGAGAACATACTTGTGAAATAACAAACACCAAGGTAATGAATAAACAAACTTTAAAACCCAGTGTATCTATATTTCATCAAAACATTCAAAGTATACGAAACAAAGAACTCAGCATCGAAATCTATCTAAAAACTTTTACACCTGTTCCGCAAGTGCTATGCTTTTGCGAACATTGGTGCAAGGAAGAGGAAGTCAGAGCAGTACACATTGATGGATATGAATTAGCCTCAGCATACTGTCGCGCCAATAAAAGCCATGGAGGCTCGTCAATATATGTCCAAAAGAAACTGAAATACGAAGAAATCCAAGACCTCAAAAACCTCTCATTAGAATGCGAAATTGAATGCTCATCCATAATATTATTCGAACTAAAAATTATTGTCATCTGTATCTATCGTCCACCATCAGGTAACACAAATACATTCTTTTGTAGGCTTAGCGAAATAGCTGAATTTTGTCAAATTAAATACCCAAAATATCAAATATTTTTGCAGGGTGACTTTAACTACAATTTGCTGGAAACAAACATAACAAATAAATTATTTTTGGATTTACTTATTTCTTATAACTATCAACAAACCATAATGGAGGCAACAAGAGTCACAGCTTCCTCCAGTTCACTCCTTGATAACATTTTTATTAAAGTAGATGATAGTACTTGGTGGAAAGCACAAGTCATAGCTACAGCTCTCTCAGATCACCACGCGCAGGTATTGTATGCATTCATACCGTATATTATCAAACCCAAGAGTAAAACCATCAGAAAAAGAGTTTTTAGTCAAATCAAACTGCAATGTTTTAAAGAGGAATTGGCGGGGACAGACTGGAATAATCTCTACCAAATTGAAGACCCAAATATAGCTTACAACACTTTTTTTAACAAATTTAGTAACTTATTTAACAATATTTTTAAAGAAAAATCAATAAAAAACAGAGCACATAGTTGGTTGACGAGGGGTATACGCGTATCGAGTAAGACAAAACGGGTACTTTACAAAAAGAAAATAATAGGGGAAATATCTGCGGAATATTATAAATCATACTCAAAAATCTTAAAAAGGGTAATAGACCAAGCGAAGTCGTTGGAAAATCAAAATTATATTACAAACAGCTCCAATAAAAGCAAGGCCACCTGGGCTCTAGCAAAAAAATTTACAACAAACTCTAATAAAAATAAAATTAGCATACTTGATTCACAAAACAATGTCTCCTCAATTGAAGTCTTAAATAAGGTTAACGAATATTATATAAATGTCAGCCATACAAATAACAAATCCAACATTAATACCTGTAAAATAAACGACAAGACAATCTATTTATCGCCAACAACGGTAAGTGAAATCTATAATATTATAAAATCGCTAAAAAATACGAAGTCTGTAGGGGACGATGAAATACCCACAATAGTTCTTAAACATTCGGCTGAAGAGCTTGCCTCACCATTATGTTACATAGCAAATCTCATGCTCACCTCGGGAATATTTCCAGATAAATTAAAAATAGCCCAAATACGTCCTATTTTTAAGAAAGGGGATAAAAATGTTATAGGTAATTACCGTCCGATCGCGTTATTATCAAACATTAGTAAATGCTTTGAAAAGGTAATCTATAATAGAATGGTTAACTTTCTAGAAAAATACAACATATTACTAGAAAATCAAAATGGTTTCCGCAAAGGAAAAACTACAGTTAGGGCGGTATACCAAGCACTGGTCGACATAATAAATTCATTAAACGACCGGAAAGACACTGTGCTTATGTGCTTAGATCTAACCAAAGCATTCGATCATGTGAATCATGACATTTTGTTAAAAAAGCTTGAAATATACGGGATAAGAGGTATTGCCAGTAAATTGTTAAAGTCATATATCAGTAATCGCCAACAATATATATCGGAAATCGATAAAAACTTAGGTGAGCAGTTAAAATCAAAAAAACTTACAATACATTCAGGTGTTCCGCAAGGATCAATCATGGGGCCACTTTTATACATATTATATACCAATGATCTTCCCTTTGCAGTTGAAGGGAATATTATACAGTTTGCAGATGACACTTCGCTTGTCTTTAGCGAACGAAATCCTACACAACTAATTGAAAATGTAAATAACTCTCTGAATGATCTAAATACGTGGTTTGAATCCAACGACCTTATGCTTAATGTTAAAAAAACTCAATTTGTAAAATTTAAGTATTCAAAAGATCGAAACGATATTTTTGTATTAAAAGCACAAGATATAAAATCAATGAAATCACTGTCATTTTTAGGGATCATTATAGACAGTCGTCTAGACTGGACTATACATATTGATAATCTTGCAAAAAGTATTGCTCGATACGCTTATGCTCTGAGGGTAATAACACTCTATATAAATAAAGATACTTCCCAAATTGCATACAATGCCTATGTGCAGAGCAGAATAAGATACGGTGTGGTGTTCTGGGGCGGTTCAGCAGAAGCAGAGAGAATACTCATCCTTCAGAAGAGATGCCTCAGAATAGTCTTTAACATGTCTTATCAAGAGAGCTGTAGAAATATATTCAAATCAAAGCACATACTTACCCTGTTTGGTATGTATATTCTAGAAGCTATAATCTTCGTCTTGAACAACACATATATAATTGATAAAGTCGATCACATTCATGAACATGAAACACGTAACAAAAATGACTACATACCTACAAAACTTAATTTTACTTACCTACAAAAGAATGTAACCTACATGATAATAAAAATATTTAATAAAATACCTGAACACTACAGAAACTTACCTATCAAAGTATTAAAAAAACAACTAACATGCTTCCTAATAAAAAAAGCGTATTATAGTATGGATGAGTATTTCAATGATGAAATAATTTTTTAAAATCACCTGAATTTAATGTAAAATATTGTTATTTTGTAATTGTGAATTTTCTATTGTACTTGACATGTTCCACACCCTATGGGTATTATTTGAACAAATAAAGGCTTTCTATTCTATTCTATTCCAATTGAATGGGGATACTACTAAGGCCTAGGTTGAGGAGGATTCCGGATTGTACTTAGTTTTGGGTCAGTTCAATGTCCTCCAAAAACCCTTCCTAAACTGGACGTATGGCCCGACCCGGCTGACAAAAATCCCGGGAGCTGCCTTAACCTTTGACACTGTCATCCACGAACTCCTAGGGTGGATCTACCAGCCGGCGTAAAAACTTCGGATCCAACAAACACAGGTAATGCTGTGATTTGGCGGGATAAGCAGGAGAACGGAAAGGGGGTAATATAACCCCGGGAGATCAGTGGATGATAATATATCTGGGGCTTGCCATACGTTCCTATACTCATACTCATACTCATACTAATTTAACAGGAAACCAGGCAACAATTGATCATTGCAGAGGGCAGCGTGCGTGTGTGAAGGGAAATCAAGTGGGTGCGTCGCAATATTATATTATTGTATTATATATATTATATAATATACACATAAGCTCACGCAAGCAAAGCTTGGAGGATGGAGAAAGTAAATGGGCAAAGCCCCCACGCGAAAATGAAGTGGTAGGCCATCTATTGAGGCATGCGTTGCACGCCTGACATAGGGGCCGGGTTTCAAATATTGATGCGATACACCACAGGGCCGGCTTTATCTATTTTGTATATTAATATTTTTATTTTTAAATTAATTTGAAAAAAAATAAGTAAGAAGGCAAAGATATAAATAAATGAAAACGGTATGAACACTAATATAGCAATAAAATAAATAAAGAATATACAAGGTTGGTAGCCGGAGTAAGCAAAAAAACTAACATACCCACCCCCATTCACGAATACCAATTGAATGGGGATACTACTAAGGCCTAGGTTGAGGAGGATTCCGGATTGTACTTAGTTTTGGGTCAGTTCAATGTCCTCCAAAAACCCTTCCTAAACTGGACGTATGGCCCGACCCGGCTGACAAAAATCCCGGGAGCTGCCTTAACCTTTGACACTGTCATCCACGAACTCCTAGGGTGGATCTACCAGCCGGCGTAAAAACTTCGGATCCAACAAACACAGGTAATGCTGTGATTTGGCGGGATAAGCAGGAGAACGGAAAGGGGGTAATATAACCCCGGGAGATCAGTGGATGACAATATATCTGGGGCTTGCCATACGTTCCCATACTCATACTCATACTCATACATACTCAACAGCTGTATTGCAAATTAATGATGTGCCACACCTTTTGCAATTTAAGATTTTTGAGTTAGGGGTTGCAGAACTCAAGGAGCAGTAGCAGTAGCAGTAGCGCCAAAAGTTGTCCCCCTCGATATAAAACTTTACCTGTGTCCGCGTTTTTTTCCAAATATTTCCAGTTTTCAAAAAATTAAAGGTGGACAGTTTTAAAAGCATATGCATGGTTTTTCTAAAATATCTAAAAAATAAACAGACCGATTTAAAAAAATAAAACATTGATGTATAGGGTTTTTAAAGACCTTTAAAATAATGTATTGGTCGATACGCCTTTTAAATTCAAATTCTTAAGGGGGTAGCTCCTGGGCGCAAGGGGTAGGGGTGAGAAACCAAAATTTGACATGAAAAGTTATCCCACTTGATATAAAACTTAACGTGTCTCGGCGTTTTTTAAAAAAAGTTTCAGGTTCCGAGAAATTTAGGGTGGTTTAAATGGAACACACTGTATATATACATATATATATATATATATTAGGGTGCTTCAAAAATAAAATTTAATTTTTTTTCGCTCTTACCCTCTCAAATGTTTCTATTTAATATAACAAAAATCAGAAGAGTAAGAATAAATTGAAAATAATTCAACAGATTTACAAAAAAAATTGCCAGTATTTTTATATATATTTATATATACAGTGCTTGCAAATCCAAGTCCGACCGGGCTGGAAAGGACGGCTGTTCAATACCCGCGT